TGATTTTTAGAGTCGTTGGATCACTGTTTTTTCACACTATAAAAGTGTTTGTGTAGGACTGGGCGATATGGCAAAAATGCAGTCTCGAATAATTCTTTTCCATATTGAACAATAATGATATATATATATAAAATATATATATAATTTCAATATCAGTTGTTAATGCTTCCAGATTTAACAGAGCATCCCAATACTGACTAAAGCTACAAAATAGAGGGTCCATTAAATGTCATAACCTATTTTCAGTGGCTGATGATCTTTGGTGGACGAAATATTGGTGCATCTCTAATATTAACACACTTCTAGATTCCCATTGTTGCATTGTTGCAATGCTGTGTGATTGGCTCTTTGATCATCAATACAGAGTAAAAAAGTTGAGAGCTTATCATGGTTATCAACATAAATTTGATTGTGATTCGATATAATATAGTTTATTGGCCCAGCCCTAGTTTTGTGTAGTTTTTGTGTTCTTGTTGTGAACTTGCTGTGGCTTGAACAGATTGGTGTAAACTTGTTTGATATACGTTTGTGTTTGTGAGAAGTGATATGGGAGTTAGTGTAAGACTAAGACTGCGTTGTTGGGTGTGTGTTATTGAAAACACTTTTGTATAATATTTTAGGGATTGTTTCTCATAATTGTATATTATGTGTTTTTGTGCTGTACCATGACTGGTTTAGGTCAGTCACGATTAAGCATCGATTCTTCAGAATATTGTTAAAGAGTGAAAATCAGGAATACGCTTGTGTAGTGTGTACAGGCGTACATAGGCATGAAATGAAAATCATAACGGTTATAGATCTGTAGTAAACAATTTATATTATATATATATATATATATATATATATATATACACATTCTGATGAAAGTCTTATATGTTTTATTTCGGCTAAAATAAAAGCAGTTCTCAATTTTTTTAAAAAACATTTTAAGGTCAAAATTATAAGCCCCTTTAAGCTATATATTTTTAAAAGTCTACGGAACAAACTGTCGTTATACAATGACTTGCCTAATTACCCTAACCTGCCCAGTTAACCTAATTAACCTAGTTAAGCCTTTAAATGTCACTTTAAGCTGTATAGAAGTGTCTTGAAATATATCTAGTCATATATTAATTATTGTCATCATGGTAAAGATAGAATAAATCAGTTATTAGAAATGAGTTAATAAAACTATTATGTTTAAAATTGTGAAATAATTTCTCTCTATTAAACAGGTTTTGGGGGAAAAATAAACAGTGGGGCTAATAATTCAGGAGGGCTAGTAATTCTGACTTTAACTGTATATACTATTTTTATTAACCCGTTGGAAAGTTTTACTTGTTTAAAGAACAAGAAGTAAATGAAACACAATTCAGTTGTATCTATTATATTAAAAAGAAACGAAAAGCACTGTAAGATTGTAAGAATGTACATTTTCTTCAAGGAAATCATTTTTATTTAAAATTTATTTTTATAAATTTTTATTTTAACTTAATGTTTTAGTTATTTTTGTATTTATTATTAGTTTTATATGGTTTGTAGCTATTCTATATTATAAACCTAATAGTTTCAGAATGTATATTAGTCTTAGATTTTAGTATTTATTATGTTTATTAGGTTCAGTCATTTTAGTACTTATTATAATAATTCTCATTTTGCCTGTTACATCATATATACAACTTCGATTAGTATTTATTTTATATCAAATTAACTAGTTTTAGGGCAGCAGGGTGATGCAGTGGGTAGCGCTGTCACCTCACAGCATGAATGTCGCTGGTTTAAGCCGCGGCTGGGTGCTCCGGTTTCCCCCACAAGTCCAAAGACATGCGCTATAAGTGAATATAGGCTAAATTGTCCATAGCGTGTGAATGAAAGTTTATGGGTGTTTCCCAGTGATGGGTTGTGGCTGGAAAGGCATTTGCTGCATAAAACATATGCTGGATAAGTTGGCGGTTCATTCCGCTGTGGCAACCCCTAATTTATAAAGGGACTAAGCTGAAAAGAAAATGAATGAACTATATTCACAATCAATACTTTAAAAACAGTTAAATGGGTTGAGTTCAGACGAGCTAAAAATAAAGATTATGAAAATAATTTGGGCAGTGCGAATGTCTGCCGTGCAGTCAAGAAATGTGTGGGACGACATCTGGGCAACTTTGCAGGAAAGCCACAGAGACAGAGAAACTGAAAACATGGTCAGTGCAGAGGAGCCAGGAAAGGAGGTGGAGAGATGTTCCTCTGCAAAAGCAATGGTTTACCCCAGTGCAGGGAGGAGGGGCGAGTGCAGAGCCACAGAGAAATGAGGAGCGGGGGGGTGTGTGTGAATAATGTGAGCACTGCAGCAACAGCAGCACTTCACACACACACACACACACACCAAATAAATGGCTGTAATGACGGGCTACGTATTTAAAAAATGACAGTATGGATGCTGGCACTGAGGTGGACTGAGATAAACAGATTATATTGATTGCAGGTGATGCTAGAAGAGGCCGTGGGCTTTTACAAGAGACGTGCAGTGGCCAATCAATGCACATCTATCTGCGGGAGAGCCAACATGACATCTCTGTTTTGAGAATGGTGACCACGCACACTGCTATAATTCACCAGCCCTTCCTTCTCCTCACCCATTTCCTTATGCTCTAAATATACTCTTCTTTTCTCCTCTGGGCGTCCATTACTGTTCTTCATACACATAGCCATCTCTGCTCTGCTTTTCTTCCTCCTTCATACGTTCTGCTCATTTCTTTCTTCCCCTGTGTGGTGTTTCCTCAGTGCAGCGTGTCAATGAAACTGCTGCATTCACACCATTCCCAATGTTCTCACAACACTTGTGCTGTTTTGTTGAAGCGTTTGGCGCCCTCTATCTGTAGTACATGTTTTTTTTTTTTTTTTTTAATAGAGAAAGACCTCTGCAGTGGTCCGAACTGCATCACAGCAGCTGTTTGCAGAGATGTTTGACAGCTTATTTTGTTTTCAAGGGTCTTTTCGTATGCTTGTGTACTGCTTATGGTTCTTGTGTATTAAAAAAGAGGCCTAGCATGCTAACAGGTCTTCAATCTGTGCTGTGGCAAAGCAGAGATCCTCTTTTACGTATAGTTAAAATCAAGTGTCTCATTTTAGTCCAGTCATTTGTGCGCCTGGGTAAATTCTTGTAAATGCATTTGCATACTTTGATACTTTCATTACAGTAATGGGATTAGTGGTACATACATCAGCTCCTTGTGGTTATAGCTTTAGTTACTAAATCAAGGTGTGTCACTGTTTGTATAATTAGTCCTATGCCATGAGTACAGTTTATAGTGTAATTAATAGGAGTGTGTGGTAAATCTGTATTCAGTAATGATTATTCATGTTGCTGAATGTGTTTTTGTGGTGATGCCGCAGCATGGTTTAGTCCTGTCAAGGGTAAATATATATGAATGACTCAGGGGTGTAGATTTAGCATGAATAAAGGGGACGTTTCCCCACCAATATCCACCAACTACTGAAATGTCCCCACCAATAGTTGAATTCACTTAAAAAAAATAACGCTGTCAACATTTAACTGGACATGCAGAAAGGGTTAAATAACATTCTATATTTTGAGTCGCACCGCCCCCGGAAATCAAACGAACATTGTCCTGTCATGTGAGAGGCTGTAGCTGCAGCACCAAAACTGCACAGGGGAATTTTTCCATGCAAGAGTTAGGGTGTGATGTGGGTGACGTGCAATTAAGGATGGTGGTGGCAAACAAAAGGACATAAGGAGCTTTAAAAAAAAAAAAAAAAAATTGATATGAACTCAAGTTCACTACTGAATAATAATGTGTATCATAATAATGGTAACATTATTGCTAGTGTGAGCTTCCTGGTGACGCAGTGGGTAGCACGATCGCCTCACAGCAAGAAGGTCGCTAGTTTGAGCCGCAGCGGGGTCAGTTTGCATTTCTTTGTGGAGTTTGCATGTTCTCCCCGTGTTTCTGTGGGTTTCCTCCGGGTTCTCCAGTTTCCCCCACAAGTCCAAAGACATGCAGTACAGGTGAATTGGGTAGGCTTAATTGTCCATAGTGTATGTGTGTGATTAAGTGTGTTTGGATGTTTCCCTGTGATGGGTTGCAACTGGAAGGGCATCCGCTGCGTAAAACATAAACTGAATAAGTTGGTGGTTCATTCCACTGTGGCGACCTCTAATTAATAAAGGAAGTAAGCTGAAAAGAAAATTAATGAATGAATGAATGTTTAAAATGTAACTTGTTCCAATTAAACTTCTTGTTTGTTGTTTTCTACAAATTCACATTTTCAAACATGTTCAATGCATTTAGCAAATGGCACTTTTGCTTGTGTGATATCATAATAAATATACGAAAGTCAATATGATAGTCAATACATTGTGATAATAGTCGTCATCATGCATTTAAATTGTTTAACTTTGTTTTGGATTGTTTTGTGCAAAGTGAGTGACATACACAATAACGACAGCTCATGCTTTGTTACAACAATAATATAAACTGTATTATCATGGACCATAACTATGACACTCCCATAGTGAGAAATGGGGTCACACTGAAAATCCCATCAGGAAAAAGTACAAATAGCTAGATGATGCGCTTGAGCCAAAAGTGTGGAATGTTGGACACTTCATGCACTTAACTGTCTGATTTACATAGCGGAGGCGGGCAGCCATCAGACTACTGTGCTGGATGAGAAAATAGTAGTGTATTGTTTATCTACTGGGATATACAACTTTATTTAACAATAAATTATTATTTATTTGTATTCAGTAAGATTTTAGATTCCACAAGTTGTTGAAGAAAGCAGAAATGATTCTTGATATGGATATTTTAGGTCAAACTGTCATTATTTTTACAATTCTGCCACTCTTCAGCCGTAAGAACTGTAACAGTTCCAAAATCAAATAGAGACCTCACTTATTTCAATGTATAATATTAATGTGCTCATCTTTTCATCTCTTTTTGTGTCTCCCTGTCTCTCTCTCTCTCTCTCTCTCCCTCTCTGTGTCTTCCTCTCTCTGTTTTCAGTATGTGGCGTTCGGCTCGCTCCTGTTCATCCTCATCTCCATCTCAACATTTTGCTTGGAGACACACGAGGCCTTCAACACCATCTACAATAAGACAGAGAACGTGACGGTGGGGAACGTCACGCGGGAAGAGGTTGTGTTTGAGGTAGTGACTGACAACTGGCTGACCTACGTGGAGGGCGTTTGCGTGGTCTGGTTCACCATCGAGGTGTTCACCCGTGTCATCTTTTGCCCGGACAAGGCTGAGTTCTTCAAGAGCTCGCTGAACATCATCGACTTTGTAGCCATCCTGCCCTTTTACCTAGAGATGGCGCTGAGCGGCCTCTCCTCTAAAGCAGCCAAAGATGTGCTGGGCTTTTTGCGTGTGGTGCGATTTGTCAGAATTCTGCGAATCTTCAAGCTCACGCGCCACTTTGTGGGGCTGAGGGTGCTGGGCCACACACTCCGTGCCAGTACCAATGAGTTCTTACTCCTCATCATCTTCCTTGCTCTTGGGGTGCTCATCTTCGCCACTATGATCTACTACGCCGAGCGCATCGGCGCCGACCCGGATGACCCTACAGCCAGTGCCCACACCGCCTTCAAAAACATCCCCATCGGCTTCTGGTGGGCGGTGGTCACCATGACGACTCTAGGCTATGGTGACATGTATCCCGAGACATGGTCGGGCATGTTGGTGGGCGCCCTGTGTGCCCTGGCAGGCGTGCTGACCATCGCCATGCCTGTGCCCGTCATTGTAAACAACTTCGGCATGTACTACTCTCTGGCCATGGCCAAGCAGAAGCTGCCCAAGAAGAAGAACAAGCACATCCCACGGGCGCCGCAGCCTGGATCGCCCAACTACTGTAAGCCAGATGCCCTGGCCATGGCCACTGCCTCGCCGCACAGGATCATGGGTAATGTGCTGGGCAGTATGGTGGTCTCTGGAAGCATGGCAGGAGACTGTCCTCTTGCACAGGAGGAAATCATAGAGATTAACAGAGCAGGTGTGTGTGAGTGTGTGTACCCATGTGTTTATGTGTCTGTGTGTGTGAGGTACCTATGCATCAAAGCCCAAAGTATACTTTGTTTTTATTTATAAGCTATGGTAAAGTTACTGTAAATGTAACACAAATTTTGCTATCAGCACAGCAGGTGTGTATTGTATTTTAGTAGCCAGATCGTACGCACAGTTTGCACACTCACTTAGAATTGTTTGTGCACTATTTAGCTTGTCTACAAGGATTTAATATGGAATCTGGTCCTGGTTTTATTTGAAACAATTATGTATTTATTTATTTAATTATTTAACCAGGAATGTCCCATTGAGATAATATATCTTCCACCTAGGAGTCCTGGTCAAGACAGGACAGATTTCCAAAAAAATTAAAAATACATGACACAACACATAGACACACACGAAAATAGTATAAAGCATAATCAATTGTTAAAACATGTGCAGTGCTTCTAAATTAACAATCTTTAAAATATTTTTAAAATCCAGCGATAGATGGTACTTGATAGATGGGTAGATGGAAATAGAGTAGTTGCTTCAAGAACTACATCGCACCACTCAACAAAACAGATACACTGACAAGCTCATATGTGAGGAGATTAAATGCTGTTTGCAAACTCTGTTTAAAACAAAACCCTGCAAGAGTTGTTTGTTTTTAAAAGATCTGTAATAGATGTCTAATAGACGTCTAAAAATAGTTGTGTTGGCTAAAACAATGCTAAACTTGGGCTGTCCACGAAAATCTAATAGACGTCTAAGAATTGCCCAAAACTAAACTAGTCATCAAATAAACAGAAATGACTGACTGCACATAAAAAGTCACCAGTCCATTCCGCTGTGGCGACCCCAGATTAAGGGACTAAGCCGAAATGAAAATGATTGAATGAAAAATATAAAGTCTATCTAATCTGTTTATTTGACAACTAGCCTAGTTAAAGTTGAGCTATTCTTAGATGTCTATTAGATATTCACTGACAGCCCAAGTTTAGCCTAAAAACTTGGCCTAAACATAGCCAAGCTGACTATGTTTAGATGTCTAATAGACATCTATTAAACACAAAATTGTTTGCTGAGAACATTTTTATCACTCATAACTAGGACCACAAGAAATCTGAAAAAGTGCTCATATATTGAAAGTGAAAGTGCTCATATATTTTATTTACAAAACTGTTTGTAAAGTCATATTTTCAGTTTTTTAGTAGATATATTATAACATGAGAGACTTGCTTTGTTTACCAAATAAGTGGCTCTAGATGGATTTGCATTGTAAACATTAAATAAAAGTTAAAAAGATATTATTTTCCAAATCATATATAAGGTTTAATAATATATAATAATAAAAAAATAATAATAAATCTGCAGATTTTTTTACAAAATTCTTTGCAGAAATAGCAAAAAATGCCCGCAGATTCTGTCTGGCCCTACTCATACCCTTGTAGAGAAGAAGCAGACACTGGACAAGGATGAATATTTATAGTTTGCTTGTGTCTTATATGCCTAGTATATTATAGAACGAATGTTTATTCGACTACAGTGAAAGTGTTTTTGCACCAACTGGTGGAAGTACCTGCTTTTGGAGTGTTCGCACCACAGGAACTGGGAGTAAATTTAATCACGGAACGCCCTTTGGGAAAACTAAATTAGCTCCTACTTTAGAGCAGAGTCTAATTCAGCACAATGGGAGCTACCAGTGATGAAGTGCTTGCTGATTTGGTGAATGTGTGCCACACAAAACACCAGTACAGTATTTCACAGGGTTACAAGACATGCACATTCAGAAAGCTAATGTTAGAGCATTTATCTGTCGGCTTTGTTGGCAGTATTGTGTTCTTTTCTTTTCTAATCTCTAAAATAATCTCTAAAATGTAGCATCAATGCAAGTTGTCATTTATGATTTAGTCCTTCTGTTTGGTGTTCAAATTGCATAATTTATTAGTCTGTGTTCTATCTTTGTCATCACAAAGCTCATGACACAATGTAAACACCACTTTAATCACAACAACCTCCAACCTTCAGTTGTTAATTTTGTTAAATGCGACGCTTGATGTTGTTGTTGGTTAGTTTACATCACTTCAGAGTTCCTGGAGATGCAACCAAGGGGAAATTAGTTCTCATGAACTACATAAGGCCTGGTGGAACGTTCCTGTAACTATCAAAAGTGTGAAAGCCGATATTCATTAGTAAAAATGGAGTATATTTTGGGCTAAATAGGTTACATTCCCATCAGTAATACAATTGATCCCTATATTACTGACAAAGATATGCTGAGATTTAAATGAGTGTATTTTTTTTTTGTGTGTGATGTCCACGAGCCCCGTCCCAGCCATCATGAAAGTTTTGCTCAAGGGCCTGTGGTCAACATTTATAGATCTTTATAATCAACTGTCATGGCCTAAACTGGGTCTTTTATATAATCCTGCACAACTGCCTGCACACATACACACACAAATATTTGAGAGTTAATATGCAAAAACAGACTGTCATGTCAGGGTTTGACAGAAGACAGGAATCTTATTAAATTTATATAGCAGGATTATGCTTCATGCATCCTAGTCAGTTTACTCTTACACTTCCAGAAGAAATCCAGCCAATCAAAAGAGAAGGAGATGGAAAACTGAATTTAGCAAAACAGCTTTTGGTAGATGATTGACATGAAGCTTATAGTACTTTTTGTGTGCGCAGTTTATTTTTGCAGTCACTGCACTGCTTAGATGTAAATATCTAAATGCTGCCATTAGTAAAGCAAAATTCCTTATGTAGTAATTAGGAATGTGCCGATATAAGATTCTGATGATATGATAGCCTTGGATAAAAATTTCATGGTTTTACGATATTGTAATCTCTGCTCTAAAATATATTCTTTCTAAATGGGTAAAAACAAAAACTTTTTTCCCTTTTTTCCATTTGAACTCAAAATATTTCATTTTGAGAAACTTTTATAATATTTTGTTACAGTAAACACGTCAGGTTAAATAATTTGAATTTATCGTTGACTTCTGCTATCTTCATCAAGTTCTAAAACACAGATTTCATTACAATTTAATATGACATCTTGGATATCTTTTCTGCTGGAGTTACTGTTGTCCTAAAAACCTTAAAACGTTAAAAAGATCATACCCATACCTTAGGAATGGTATTGCAGAAACTTTGACTTTTTCAAACCATGGTATACCTTGAAAACGGTTATCATCCTATGCCTATTAGTAATGGCACATCAGTTAATGAATATGATCATAAAAATTTGTTAGAAAAATGTATATTCAAACAATACAAATTTAGATTTTGATATAAACCTTAATTTTCTAGAGTACTTTGTATTCTATTGTAGAAAAAATCCAGTTTCTTCAAAATAGCTTCTCTTGTGTTTAATGGAACAAAGTCATAAACAAGTAAAACAAGTGTTAATGAGGACAGAGTTTTTATTTTTGGGGAACTATGTCTTAAAGCAGGGGTCACCAAACTTGTTCCTGGAGGGCCGGTGTCCTGCAGATTTGAGCTCTAACCCTAATCAAACAGACCTAAACAAGCTAATCAAGGTCTTTGTAGGTATACTTGAAACATCCAGGCAGGTGTGTTGAGGCAAGTTGGAGCTAAACCCTGCAGGGACACCGGCCCTCCAGGACCGAGATTGGTGACCCCTGTCTTAAAGTAATATAACCGTTGCAAGTTATTATGGGATTACTCACTTTTTAAAAGTAAAGTCAGCTTGTCACAAGGCAACACAATAAAAAATAATAAGTTTACTCTTTTTTTAAAAAAGTAATTAATCACTTTTAGAGTGTAATAATAAGGTTTGTTTCATTAAACCAGGACATTATAATTATTTCCAAAGTATCATGTGACACTGAAGTCTTAACATTTTTAACATGATTCCCAATGTTGGGGTTAACGCATTACAAGTAATGCGAGTTACATAATAATATTACTTTCTAAGTAACAAGTAACGCATTACTTTTAATAAATAAATTATAATATTTGAGTTATTTTTTTGATAATGTAAAACGAGTTACTTTTTAGTTTAATTAATTCGCTTTAAAAAAATAAATTGCTGAATTAAAATTAAAGTAGACACATAAATCATACATCAATGAGAGAATGTGTTCATTATTTTGAACGCATCAAAGAAAAGGAAAAGGGCATTATAGTCTCAATCGATTGTGATTTTACTTAAGACAAATAGTATAAAAATAGTAAACAAAGACAGACTGCTTTAAACTTTCATTAATCTTTATTCAAAGCATGTAGAGCTCTGGGTGCAAGAAGTTCTTAGACAACATTTACCCTAATTGTTTTTTTTTTAGGTAAATTTAGGTGTATATTAGTATGTTGTTAATTGCAGAGCTCCTCTATTAAAAAGCTATTATTTTTAATAGCTTAAACCAGGTCAGAAAAACTAACACAAAAGTAACTCAAAAGTAGCTTAACACATTACTTAACATGAAAAAGTAACTAAGTAACACAACAAATTACTCTTTTAAAAAGAGAAACTCAATATTGTAATGCATTACTTTCAAAAGTAATTTTCCTTAACATTGAGGACTCCAACATATACTGTAACTTTGGAGTGTTGTGGTAATTTTTATATTAAATATCTAAAATATTTATAATAGTTTACTCTTTATTATAGCAATTAATAGTGAATCTGACCCCCCATAATGGTGTTGTTTATTAGTAGACCAGGAATGAACAAGTAGCATCAGTCCTAAACAGTTTTGCTCATGTCGTTGTTAGTTGTATATATTATATTGTAAAACGAGCGCAAAGGACTGTTAAAAAAAAAAAAAAACATGTGTGTGTTAGTCAGGTTCAGTCAGAGAGCTCATATAGCCGAAAGAGCTCCGTCTGTCATTACTCTGCAGATATACACACCCCATGCTAAGATTAACATGAGGCAGATTAGTCACAGCCCCTCAGATTAACATATGCTGCATTTGATCTAATGCTACTCTGCTTACATCCACCTCTCTGCCTGTTTTCATCTGATTTCAGCAACAACACAGATGTCAGATATACATAACAGATTTGAAATGGCATCATTATAAATAATATAACTTTTGTCATTAAAATGACCATTTAAAGGAACTATGAGTATTTCGAGAGAATGAGAGCTGTTATTTTTGGCTCCTCCTCGCCTTAAAAAATTAAAAAACAAATACATCCACTTGGTGTGAGAAAACACTCTAACACACGTGCCTTCCTGCAGCTTCAAATCCCACATGCCCTTGACACCTACAATACTGGCAACACTTTCATCATGGATCCTTACTGTTAATGAAGTTTTATAAACTAGTGTAAAACTAAATCTTTCAAATTTACAACGCATTCGTTTGTTTGTCCTCAGTCCCCATGAGTGAGTGTGTTTGGTTTTTTTTTTGGGAATGTGTGAGAGATGCTCTGATTCTGTAGTTTAGTTTTATGCTGGATTTTTAAAAGGGTTTCCTCCAAAATTAATTATTTAATTAGTTTTATTCATCCTCATGACTTTCTAAACCCATATGACCTAAGTTTTTTGGTGAAAAGGAAAAGGAGATGTTGTGAAGAATGTTTAAGCTGCTCCTTTTTATATAGTAAAAGTAAATGATGATCAGGGGCTGTCAAGCTCCAAAAATTGCACAAATGGCAATATTAAAATCAATCCTATAAAATAAGTGGAGCCTAATAAAATGCAGTTGTCCACTGTGCCTTTCACTATGGGTTCAAATGTCATGCAAAACAAACTTTCATTAAACATTTTAACATTAAATAAAGCCAATAATCGGTACTGTACCTTAGATAATGGGGTCAATAAAATCAGATTTTTTGTTGGTGTTGCTATAATTAAAACATATTTTGCTGTGTGTGTTATAGACTGGCTGATTTAGGCCTTTGGTGAATAAATATGAGAGGAAAACTGCCAGTAGATGGGACTGCCAGTTCCTGTCTTGATGAGAAATTCATTGGATCAATCATTCCAACTATTCATTAAAAATGGAAAATTCTTTTAGAAATAAAGTGACTGACTGTATTTTAAAAGGGATCAGGAAAAGGAAACAGATTCCCTAAGAATCATCTGGCTCTGCTCATTGTTCATTGACAAAAAAAAAATAAAAAATAACAATAACACTGTGTTTAAACTGTAACTACTCGTCTCATAGACTGATCTGATTCAGAATAAAGAGCATTTTTGCTTGTAACATATTAACTTATTTAAAAATCAAAAGCCCATACAGCAACATTTTATCTTTCATAACTTACAGTTGCAATCAAAATTATTAAAGCCCCTTTGAATTTTTTCTTTTGTAAATATTTTCCAAATGATGTTTAACAGAGCAAGGAAATTTTCACAGTGTGTCTGATAGTATTTTTTTTTTCTGGATAAAGTCTTATTAGCTTTATTTTGGCTAGAATAAAAGCAGTTTTTTCTTTTTTAGAAACATTTTAAGGTTAAAAGTATTAGCTACATTAAGCTTTATATTCTTTACCCTAACCTGCCTAGTTTACCTTATTATCCTAGTGTCTTGAAAAATATCTAGTGAAATATTATTTACTGTCATCATGGCTTAGATAAAATAAATCAGTTATTAGAAATTAGTTATTAAAACTATTTAGAAATGTGTTGAAAAAATATTCTCTTCTTTAAACAGAAATTAGGGGCAAAATAAACAAGGCGGGGGTAATAAATGGGGGGGGGGGTGTAAATTCTGACTGCAACTGTACATTAATTACAGTTTTATTCTAGCACTAAATTCTTTAAGACTCTCTTTAAGATGAGTTGTTTTTCAAAATTAGTGTCATATTTGATAATATCAGCTTTCTTGTGGTTAAATAAGCCATTACTACATTAATGTAGACTGTAAACAATTCATGCCCCCAGGCTGAGATTATTGTCATAGTTTGTAAGCTGTTCTTCCAGCAACGCTGACACAGAAATAGAAACTGTTTCTAAAATAGAAACCCTGTGGCATCACATTGAATCTGCTTAGAACACAGTATAATGTAGGACCAGGCAGAAATGTATCCAGTATGTACTTCACTTTAAGTATATTTGACATTTACTCCCATGTATGGAAAAGAGCAGCATGAACATTGTGCTAAATTTCTCCTTTTGTGTTCCACAGATAATAGAAGTTCATATGGATTTTCGAAGACATAAGAGTGAACGAATGGTTTTTGTTTAATTGTTTTCAAAATATTTTTTATGATCCCTTTAATGAGTGTAATGTAATGGCTGTCAGGGAGGTGAGTTATATCGAGCGTAGTGAACCTAATGTCTTGACCTTTGCTATAGATCTCTAAGTCAATCATTCATCGCTCTGTCACCATTCCTGCGTTAAGCTGTTCATCACCTGTCCAGAATTCAGTCACATGGACTGCCGTTTTCATAGTGAAATAAATATTTGTCATTTCCTCCATGAGGTCCAGTTGCATAAGCAGTCTTTATGCTATCTTTTTCTCCCTCACCTCCTCATCCTCCTCCTCCTCTTTCCATCTCTCTCCACATCTTTAGCAGGCTTTGCCCCCTGGCTCATTTCTGTAAATTGTTGAGCGGTAACTCACGTCAAATTAGATTTGACTGCTGTGTTGGAAGCTAAAAGAACAAGTGCCCCTGCAGCTTCTTTGTTTGAGTGTGTGCACATCTCACTCTTTTAGACACACTCATTCATGCTGCGTGTGTGTGTTTGTGTGTGATGTTCCCCTGTGATGCTGGTGCTCTTTTTGTGGCACATCTCTATTTTTGCTGCTTTTTATTCATCCCTTTTCATCCCTGACTTTTTTTTTTGTTCTCTGCCCCTGTTGTTTCATGCTACTATAACTCTCTTTGGTGTCACATACATACGGTACGGCTAATAATTCCTTTCTTTCTCTCTCTGTCTGTCAGACTCGAAGCAGAATGGGGATGCTGCAAATGCAGCTCTGGCTAATGAGGACTGTCCCACTATAGATCAAGTGTTGGGGCCAGATGATAGGAGTCCAGCCACCGGTGGGCTGGGCACAGGCACGGGGCGTGAGCGTTACCCCCATGATAGGGCCTGCTTCCTCCTCAGTACTGGAGAGTTCCGCACCACAGACAGCAATGTCAGGAAAGGTATGCAGCACCCACTAACAAACACATTATTATACTCATATTTTCACTGAACGTTACGTAGAACAATCATATGAAAGGTAAGTTATATGTTCAAATGTTTATTATTTCATATTAGTTCACACACACACACACACACACACACACACACACACACACACACACACACACACACATTCCATGACAAACACCTGCAGCAAAATGTTCATACATATTATGTCGATAAACATCTATACACAAACATACACTTCAGAGGTATACATCTTCAAAACAGACCCTCCTGAACCCATACTCACAGTATAGCTCCTCGTCTTCTCATCCTGCCTTTCTCCTCATAATTCACCACATCAATCATTCTGAAGGCGCTGATCATTAGCAAAACTCCTAGAACACACACAGTAATGATTCAGTTTCTATCTAAGATAATAGTGTTTAATCTTTGATCAAATCTGAATTTCTCAGTGAAAATAATCTGAGCACCATTTTAATTATTAACATATATATTAAACCAGTTTGCCGCATCTGGCCAACAAGCTCTTCATATTTTTCTATCTATCTATCTATCTATCTATCTATCTATCTATCTATCTATCTATCTATCTATCTATCTATCTATCTATCTATCTATCTATCTATCTATCTATCTATCTATCTATCTATCTATTTATCTATTTATCTGTCTGTCTGTCTGTCTGTCTGTGTCTGTCTGTCGGTCGGTCGGTCGGTCGGTCGGCCTGTCTGTCTGTCTGTCTGTCTGTCTGTCTGTGTCTGTCGGTCGGTCTGTCTGTCTGTCTGTCTGTCGGTCAGTCGGTCTGTTTGAATCTGATCTGTGTGTCTGTCTGTTGTTCTATCTGTCTGTCTCTTTGTCTGTCTCTCTGTCTGTTTGTCTGTCTGTCTGATCTGTGTATGTCTGTTTATCTATCTATCTATCTATCTATCTATCTGTCTGTCTGTCTGTCTGTCTGTCGGTCGGTCGGTCTGTCTGACTTTCTGTCTGTCTGACTTTCTGTCTGTCTGTCTGACTTTCTGTCTGTCTGTCTGTCTGTCTGACTTTCTGTCTGTCTGTCTGTCTGTCTGTCTGTCTGTCTTTCTGTCTTTCTGTTTATCTATCTATTTATCTATCTATCTATCTATCTATCTATCTATCTATCTATCTATCTATCTATCTATCTATCTATCTATCTATCTATCTATCTATCTATCTATCTATCTATCTATCTATCTATCTATCTATCTATCTATCTATCTATCTATCTATCTACCTACCTACCTACCTACCTGTCTGTCTGTCTGTCTGTCTGTCTGTCTGTCTGTCTGTCTGTCTGGCTGGCTGGCTGGCTGGCTGGCTGGCTGGCTGGCTGGCTGGCTGGCATGCCAGCTGTCTGTCTGTCTGTCTGTCTGTCTGTCTGTCTGTCTGTTTATATATCTGTCTTTCTGGGTTGTGCAAAATTTAGAATTAAAGAATCGTGTATCTTTCAATCCATGAATTATATTTAATTAGAGAATTTTGAATTTGAATTGGAATAACAGCATCCACCTAGGTTAAGGTAAATTTATCTATATTTAATTTCAAAACATTTATTCATTATTGCAGTTCTTTGCATTCAAATGAAAATTGCAATTTTGTATACAGTTTTTGAACCTAAATTCATATTTAATTGGCATTCGCGAACTGTGAAAATGCTTTCTCAATTCACTTTGATGCAAAACCCTTCTAGCTGTCTGTCCCTCTGTCAAGCTCGCTCTGTCTCTTTCTATCTATGTATCAGGCTTGCCTTTGCTCTTTCTTGATCTCATTCATTGATTTATTACTTCATTCTCTTTCTCTTCCTGGCCTTCCACCCTGACTTGTTTCTTTCTCTCCTTCCATCCCTTAATCTTGCCTTTTTTCTTCTTTTTATTCCTCCACACCTCACTCTTTTCACGACACATCCTCTTATATTTGTTCTGTATTTTTTGCAACGGCATGATTGACATCTGCTGCCTTCCTTTCTATACTATACCTTCCTACTCCTGCACCTTTCCACCAACCTCCACGTGTCCCAAATACACAACCAAATCCTACAACCCCCTCACAAAAACACTAGACGCTGCAGGTGCCAGGCCAGTCTCCCCAGGAGAGGAATGGTTCAAGCCGGAAGGGCCACTGCTACAGCAGGACCTCAATGCCAATTCTGCCTCTTCCTGGATCAAACCATAATCCTTCAGAGGTAACACCCAAAAAGCAACCTGTAATTCAGTGTAGACATTAATTCTCTGCACAAGGTCAATATTTTATTATTAGCATACTGCTAATTCTCAAGGAAACAAGAATGTATGCACATATTATTTCAGAATGACTCTTTCACTGCTATTTGTTCTGTATTTAGCACATTTTACTGTTCTAAAGCAACTGTATAAATGAAATGAAAACAGCAGCAGTCATACTCAATGCTTAAGTGCACAGTATTAAATTAAGGCTGATGTCTCGTGACACTGATTTTACTTAAGGGCTTAATATCTGAATAGACTTAAAATCGTGCATCAATCAAATCAGAAATTATGTTTATTAGTGAGCAATAGTGTTTTTAAATATAATTTACTGATTTTACCAATGTCTTTCTTGAATCAATAAGATTTTATTAACACAATAAAACAAACAGCATTACATTAATTTATGCAATGTACATCTAATATCAAATTAAATATGAAGTAATGAGGCATGAGTGGTCCATAATGGCCAACAAATGCTAGAATACATTTAAAATACTTGAAACGTGTTTTCATGGTAAATCCAAGTTTGCTATATAGAATAGAATATTATAAAACATTAAATACATCATTAACTGCATTTTTCTTATTTAATAATGTTCTTTTTACATTAAAATATAATTTATAACCACTAAGCTAATTAATTTTTTAAGTCTTGGAAATTACATGATGATTTTTAAAATACAGTGACCTCTTAAATGTCCAATGATAAGTTTTTAGGAAATCCATGACTTTTTAAATATGAGAAAATTCTGTTATTGACCAATTGGCCTGTTTGTAACTTGTTGTAGAATTTGGTAACACCACATTTAGGCATTCGGTTGACTTTTATCAGGCCCATACAGAATCTGTGCTTTTTGGCCGATCATTGAGTCTAATTATCTGCTTAGGTAAATGTGTGGACATATATATTCGTTTAGTTTTTATATTAATTCAATGGCTAATGTTATTAATTAATATGCAAATGGTTATATGATTTATTTACCATACAGTTTGTAAAGCTATATTTTCTGTCTTTTAAAATATATGTTATATTAGACATTGCTTTGTTTACAGTCTAATTGAATTTGCATTGTAAATCCTAAATACAAGTTAAGAATTAATTTTAATTCTATGTGATACGCTTTTAGTTAATATACTCTTAAAATCATTCTACATAAATTTGCAGAGTTTTTTTTTATTAGGTAGTGTTTTACAATAAGTTTATATTAGTTAATGTTAGTTACAGTTTTTCTCGGTCACTTTGGTACATTTCTCAGATCAGAATTGAAATTTGCAAAACAGTAAGTGCGTTTCTTAAAACAACACGTACAAATATCCTTAGTTCATTAATCAAAACTAAATTTCTGGGTCAATTAATGTGTCATTGCCATCAGATAGACAAATCCTTGTGTCATTATGTACAGATAAGAGAGTCAAATTACATAGCCATGTTGTCAATATAAGTGTGTTTTGGAGGGGTGTTCTGAGGCTTTTTTGCTGTTTGTACTGTAATTTGTTGACAGATTATCTCATTGTTATACAGAAAGGAAAAGAAAACACTGCATAGCACAAAGAAAAAACTAAACAAAAGTAGAAATGTGAAGATAGGAAAATCTTCGTTCAGATGCACCTTCATTAGAAAAAGGCAAGAATCACCTGGAAAAAATTTACCAATTGTTGACAGATTTAGAAAAAAAGTCTAATGGAAATGTATAATAAAATGCATTATGACAAAATATTATGACAACTTGTTCAGCCATTTTGCATGTAAAGACTTAAGCCATGAACAATTAAATGTTGTCAGGGGTGAGACTGTTCAACAGAGGCCAAAATAATACATTTTGATCAACATGATATAAGCAATTGATAATGTAGGAAACATCAGAGAATTGCACATAATCATTTGCATGTATGTACAAAAGCATTTGCAAGTTGCTCAAAGGAACGAGAAGCTGTTTTTCTGATGTGCCAAAGTGACACAATGATCTGAAGATTGATTAGGGAGTTTTGAGAATTTCAATTCTGATCTGAGAAATGTAAAGTGACTGAGAAAAGCTGTAATGTATTTACTGACGTGAACAATCAATGAACAATACATTTAATACAGTATTTGTTCATGTTAGTTATTGTTAGATAATGTAAATAACATTAACAAGCATTAATTTGGATTTTAACATTGCATTAGTGTTGAACTACGTTTAATAAATGCTGTACAAGTATTGTTTATTTACCACATTTACTTATGAAACCTTATTGTAAAGTGTTCACCAATATTCTGCACAGAAATAACAAATGATGTCTTCAGATTCTGTCTGGTCCTATTAGCAACCAGCAGTAATTCGAGTAATATTAGACGGTCTGCGTAATATCTGGTAGCATTTATTTTGATGCTCCTCCAAAAGACATTCACATTCACTGACTATACTGTACATATCTTTGCAGCTACACGTCAGCTCATTCCACTAACCCTAACTTAACAGTCTGCTAATACTACTTACACTAATAAAATCTAAATAAATGATGACTGACATTTTGCCCTGAGCCATAGTTAATATCTGAACATGACTCACTCCAAGCTAGGATCAGTATCTCCTCTTTCTCTCTGACTCAAATGTGAATAAGTGTTTGCTCAGACTAGCTTTGAAGCCTCCGCTACACATCTACAGCACACATCTTTCTCAAAGGCTAAGCGTTGTATGAGTGATCTCCTTCATCTCTGTCTCTCTCATTCTCTCTTTCTCATTTTACCCTCAAAACTAAACTTTCGTCATTCTAATAATATTTGCCTCTAATTTTTCCTTTATTTCTCCATCTCTCTCTCACTCTCTCTTCCTTCTATTCAGTCATCTCTCTCACTCTTTTCTGAACCGAGCACCAGAGATTAACTTAACTTAGTTGAAAACACACTTCAGTTCACACACCCACACATGATCAAATGAAACTGTGTTAAAACTTGTTTATATTTATGTGTGATAGAATTTATGCTTAATTTGTGTATGTATGAATGTATGTGTGTGTGTTTGGGGATGTTGTATTTTCTGATGGTGCGCTTGTCTGACGAGCTGTTGTTGTGTTATCTCCTTCCTCAGGTTGTGTCGTGTCATGCGTTTGTATGTCAGCTCTTGTTGCTACACTGTTACATTTGTCTTCCCTTGTTCGTGTGTTGTTGTGTGTGTGCACTGTAATCCATTCGGTGTTGCTGTGACTTCTTCCTCCTCCTTTTCCTCCCTAGCCGTGACCTTTCACCTTACTTGAGCTCCCCTTAGGTTTTTTGTAGAATGTCTTTTCAGCCCTTCCTACGATATACTACCATTCACAGGCAACACGCATTAAGCACTGACCTAAATATTATGAATTGGACTCGGATTTCTGTCATATCAAACAGGTTTAGCTTAACTTATGAGTGTAGATGTTCCGTTTTGCCTTTGTTTGGCTGTATTAATTCCATCCCTCAACATGTTTACAAACTGAAAGAAATCCAAAAGAAGATTCCTTAGGGGTTTTGGTGAACGGTCACTGAGCAGGGTTGTGATTTATTTGCATTTTCACTTTTATTTATTTATTTGTTTTAAATAAAGCTAATTTCTTCTCTCTCCTGGAACTGCCCTCCACTCTGGGGTCCACTGACCAGTGTTTCATCACAGCCACACGATGAAAACCCTTCATTATGTTGACTAGAAATGGTGAACTCCAGCATTGTAGTGTTTTAAGATGACCCTTTAGGGCTGTGCTGAAACACTGGGCTCTGACGCTGTTAGGATGTGTGCTACAGTCCTGTAGTCTAACTGGTCAGGGGGACAGTTTTGTCTCACATACACACAAAAACATCTGCTAGACTTGAATGAAACACATGGACATGTCAAAAGGGAATTTTATGGTGAGGGTTTTACAAAAATAAACCATACACATTTAAAGCAAACACATACACTGATGCTCACAGACACAGGTAAGTTTATGTTGGGCTGTTGCTATGATAACCGGACACTATATGTGCTGTGATGCTATTTTTACTGCAAAGGTTCCATTTAATGTGTTTAGACCCAATCTAAGGCCACTTATGGGCATTTTCTTATTAAAGGGGTAGTTCACCCAAAACTGAAAATTCTGCCATCATTTACTTTTTTCTTCCCTCTGTTGAACACAAATGAAGATATTTTTAGAACATTTTGGAAGCATTTAACTATTGACTTTCATAGTATTTGTTTTTCTTTCTGTGGAAGTAAATGGTTAAATATAGCTTTCTTCAAAATATCTTTGACAGAAGAAAGAAGGATTTTTGGGGGGTGACTGTCCCTTTAATATGGGACTGTTTTTGTTTCACTTTGCTATTTTTCACCTTTCCTCTCTCACTCTCTCTCTGTTTTAATGTGGTCACAGTTCCTCTCCAATCACACTTTTAACTCTGTTGAAATGAATACAAAAGAGCTCAGGTCAGGAAAGGTCAAAGGTTGGACAGTTTCCCACCTTTTTTATATGTAGATCTCATAATATTGACCACGTTGTGTGTGTATGTAGGATTGTCTGGAGGTGTTAATGTTTATTTGTTGTGGAGTGTCTGAGGGTTTTGGTTCTTTTTGTTTATATTTGTGCTTATATTTGAGTATATCGTGTTTACTTTTAGTCTAGATCAGTGGTCACCAAACTTGTTCCTGGAGGGCTGGTGTCCTGCAGATTTTAGCTCCAACCTTAATCAAACACACCTGAACAAGCTAATCAAGGTCTTACTAGGTATACTTGAAACATCCAGGCAGGTGTGTTGAGGCAAGTTAGAGATAAACCCTGCAGCTACACCGGCCCTCCAGGACCGAGATTGGTGACCCCTGGTCTAGATGGTTTAAAATTAATCAATTCAGATTGGCAATTCATTTACTCACCATTATTTCAGTCTAAGCCTGGCTCACTTTCTTTGCTTTGAAGCAAAATGTAAATGGTTTATCAGAATGTCCAAGCTCCTGTCTTCTATACAGTTTATAAAAAGGCAGTCAAAGATTCCAAAGAGGAAAAAAAATATGTATTATAAAAAGCATTCCCTAAGTTGAAAAGATCAAAGATGAGACTTCCTAATCAAACTTACAATCATGGTTTTATATCCAGAAAGCATATTTAATTCCAGTAATGCACATACTATAATGTTTTAAATAACTTTTGTGAAATTAGATTATCGGTAAAATAATGTTCCATCTTTATTCAGTTTAACAAATATATTTTATTGAACATTTGATTATATTCTGACCTGTACTTACAAAAATAAATCAATGCTCATTTTTATTATAAAAATGGTTAAAAGTATTTGCTGACATATTATTTACTGTAAGTAATGTAAAATAAAGAACTAAAATTTAAAACAATTTTTTTTTTGGTCTACATTATTATCCATAAATAGATTTAATATCTTGTAATTACTATTTTTTTGTTCTAAATATGTCTGACAAGTATTTGATTATTTAAAATGACATTTTAATAAATGCCTTTTGTAAATTTTGGCAAACATACATACATATATACATATATATATAAATATATATATATATATATATATATATATATATATATATATATATATATATATATATATATATATATATATATATGTAATGTATGTTAAACATATATTAAAGACAGACTAATAAACAAAAATAACAAGATGTGAAGTTGTGTTCCACTTTTGTTTTTTAGTGCTTGAAACTTCTTTTCCATGTTTGAAGCGTTGTTGTGTCGATTTGTCCTACATTGTCTGATTTTTCTATCTCCCATTTAAAAAGTGTAGGTAGGACATTTTGATGACGACATAAGCTACCCATCACATTGTGCCAGTGTAAATTTTGATGTGGAGTGGTGTGCTATAAGGCTGTTACAGTATATCACCCTAATCCACCCCATTCCCAAACCCCAACCATAGAACCATTCAAATACAGTGTTGATAGCAAAACCTGACGAGTGGGGTCAAATGTTAGGACACCAGTTATGAAGAAAAAGCTATATTGGGGTGCATGACAAATGAAAATAATGTGTTTTTTTAACCCACTTGAAATATTAGACATATTTCTTGTTTGAATGAATTCACAGTCACAAGCTTAAAAAAAATCTGACTTTGACTTTCCCCAATAGCACTGTCTCATCAAGACTGTAAATCTGATTAAAGGTCATGTGGTGTATTCCAGCATTATTATCTGTATTCCAAGTTTTCAGAGGTCAAACTGTGAGACAGCTTTATGTCAGGAACGTTTATGCATTTGCTAAAAATCTTGCCTTGACAAACTCCCTTTTAACATCAGGAAAAGAGTAGCTTGGTCATTCTTTTAAATGTTCTCCTTTTATATATTGATTGGAAGATATATACAAAAAGGTGAGTAAATGATGACAAAACTTAAATAAGTGAATTACACTGCCCTCCTAAATCACCATAGCAGGTAGTTATTCTCCCCACTCGAACCTCTGCCTCTCTCTATTTCTGCCTCCTGCCCTCTCACTCCTTCTTACCCACTGTTGCCAAGGAAACAGTGGAAGAGAGCATTCTGGGATTAAGTGGAACATGACGAAATATAGAATGAAAGGGTTAAAGAAGGTTCAGACTAACAAATGACATTCAGCCTTTCTAAATTATACTAAACTAATAGTGTTACAAATTACAAACTCAAAAACCTCCACCTACTCCCAAATTGCACTCTCATTCTTTAAATGTCTATCAAAACTTTTTTTTTCTATTTCCCCCTTTTATCAATCATTCATTTCGTCTAAAGTGCTCTTTTGATGTGTTTTTTTTTTTCTTTCTTTTTTTTGCATTTTATATTTTGAGTACACTGAGAGCTTGGACACGTACCCTTGGGCCCTGCCATTGACAGACTCTGGTGGTGAGGCTAAATGTGTAAGAGCTGCAGTCTGGATGCTGGCCATAACACAGTGACTGAGGGCATTGTGGTCATCTTTCTCTCTAGCCATTGTCTTAAAGCGTAGAAACAGTACTGCACTGCAGGGCTGCAGTCACACCCGCCTCTCGCTCTCTCATTTCTCTCCCTCTGCAGACTGATTGATTTTCCCCTGTACTCTCATTTAACCTCACCTCTGAATCTTTGCCGTAACCGGAGAACCCGAGGGTTCTCTCTGTAGGGCTCTTGATGAGCAAGAGCGATTCATTATCAATTTGACCATATCATGTTTCCCTGTGGGTATAAACAGATGCTGCGTGTCCTTTTCAAATCATTTTTAAAGGATCCCGCAAAACCCTTACAGCTTTGCATTTAACCGCTGTCTTTTATATATACTGTATATATGTGTCAGTTTAAGTGCAGCCTCGTGCAAAAAATAAATTGGATTACTTTATGAATTAGCTGGTATGTCCGCAGAATGGCAGTGTTGATTTTTTTCCCAACAACCGAATTGGCACAATTGCTGATTGCAACTGCTTTTTCATGACATTTTCTAGTCATTCAGCATTTTCCACAAACATTACAGCCAACTGTCAGATTTCCAAGCTGCATCTGTGTGAGATTTTGACTGCAGTGCAGTAAAAATTGAGTGGCGAAAGATGGCTGAGAGGTTGCTAGCCTGGCCGATAATGCTTCCAAAGAGGTCAATGCTCTCATACTGTTTAGGTCACTGCACCTCGAGCCTGTCACAACCTTACCTGATGATGAGCTATATAGCATGTCAGTATTAATTAAGTCTCTTAAAAGTCTTATTTTCTTATCAAGGAGAAGCTAAAACATTTGCCTGGCACTCATACTGAAAGTGTTGGTGTATATTAAAGTTGTGCATTATGCATTTTTTTTTTTTTTTTTTTGTGGCTCCTGTGTTCATATATCTCAGCAGTATTTGTGACCCTGGCCCACAATACCAGTCATAAGTGGCATTTTTTTTTAAATTAAGGTTTATACATCACCTAAACATTGAATAAATTAATATATGGTTTGATGGAATAAGACAAAATTTGGTACACTGATTAAAATTTTGGATTTTGAGGGCTCAAATAAATCAAAATATTGAGAAACCACCTTTAAAGAGCACCTATTTTACCCCTTTTTCAAGATTTAAGATAAGTCTTTTGTGTCTCCAGAAAGTGTCTGCAAAGCTTCAGTTCAAAACTCCCATCAGATTATTTATTATATCTTTC